GGGGTAACTTTCTTAATAGATAGTGGGAATGTGAGGGATGTAATATATCTTGAGTACAGGAAAGTGGGGGAAACACCCCCCCCCTCCCATGAATTAAATAAATAAACAGGTTAAATGTGGACGAGATGGCGTGAGAATTAAATTGGAAACTGATACCCTGGCTGGTGTGGGGGATTCTGGGCGTTGAAGTTCACCTGTCTTAAAGTTGCCAAATGGGGGAAAAGGTGTTTTAGATAACTGTGGGACCTTCCCCGCCCCGTCTGACAAGTGTGGCTGGTTCGAATCACGCTGGGCGGGGGCTTTTCCCAAGAGAGAGGAGCCTTTGGAAGCTCCTTGGGGAAGCCCCGGCGCAGGCGAGGCGGCCTCTGTGCTCACCCTCCCCCCCCCCCCTTCCTCTTCCTCTCCCTCTTGCAGCTTATTGGGATCCAGGATGGCTACCTTTCTCTGCTCCAGGACAGCGGGGATGTCCGGGAGGATCTGCGTCTCCCTGAGGGAGACCTGGGCAAGGAGATCGAACAGAAATACGACAGCGGAGAAGAAATCCTGGTAAGGCCGGGCCCTTCGGCTCGTGCGTGTTCGGTTTGCTTCCTTTATTTAGTGTCTTCTATTTTATTTGCAGGTCTATCTATCTACATATACCTACGTACCTATATCTTTACGTATCTTTATATTTAGATCTCTATCTGTCTATTATCTATCTTATTTATATCTATCCATCTATCTACATATATTTATATATCTATAGATATCTCTTGTCTATTATCTATCTAATTTATCTATTTTATCTAATCTAATCTCATCTACCTATCTAATCTTATCTATCTGCGAAATGCTCCTCACGCATCATCACAAAATCTCCAGGACCATAAAGCCTACAAACTTGAAATTGGGCCCATATGTTCCTCTTGGCTTCTAGGGGCTCCCTAAGAAAGGATTTTCTGAAATGACCATCAGAACATTAATATTTCCTTTTTTTATTATTATTATTATTATTATTATTATTATTATTATTATTATTATTATTACCCTCTGGTGCTAAGGAGTTCTACTCCCCCTCCCCACCTGAAAAGAAATCTCTTCCAAATGCAAAACACAAGCAGAACGGAGGAGTTTCAGTTTCATAGCAGCCAACCAGCTTTAGTACAGAACAGTTAAGCTAAGCCACGCCCAGGCTCCTTGCTGTCTCCTTGCTGACACAGCAAATACTGTTTCAGTTTCCAAACAGTCCTCAACGCTCTCACACACTGACAGGAAGCTAGCCAGATGAATACCCATGGATGCTTTTAGGCAGAGGCAGAATTATTTTTTTCCTTATTTTCCTCCCCCAAAACGAAGCTCCCCCACCTAATTCCGTAGTGAAGGATGGGTATCGGTTTATATATATCAGGGTTAGGGGTAGCTGTATAAAAATGCACATGTGCACGGGTAATCCCCGGCTTACAATTGTTTTTTTTAGTGACCAAAAGTTGCAGCAGCACTGAAAATCTTGACTTAACCACCATTGTTCACACTTAACAACTATTGTGGCGTCCCCATGGTGCCGCAGATCCACACTCGGACGCTGGGAACTGACTCACATGACGGTTGCCATGGTCACATGAGATTTTACCCCTTTTGCGGCCTTCCGACAGTCCACAGGATAGCCGGACTCCCTTAACGACCCTATGACTCACTTAACGATGGCCGCGATGCCCTTAAAAACGGCGGCCATAAAGTGGGCCTAGAAACTCTCCTTCCCAATGTCTCCTCCCATGGAAAACCGCCGATCAATAATAACAACCTTGGCAGCTGGAAGGAAGGCGGGTGGATCCCAGCTCCCAGAATTCCCCCGGCCAGTCTCCAACGGGGAGGGGAGCTGCCGGCCGGCCGGGGGATTCTGGGAGTTGTAGTCCAGCCACCTTCCTTCCAGCCACCGCCACAATTGAGCAGAAAGGGAGAATCCAGCGCTGGAAGATTTCTAACCTGCCAGGTCTCAGGTGGGCGGGTGTTTAGGGAGGTCCTTGCTTTTTGGGGGTTGGGGGGGCAGGAATTTGGGGGGGGAGAAAGCAAAGACACCCCCCAAAAAAGTTTTTCCTCCTCCTCCCTCCAGATCACCGTTCTGTCTGCAATGACCGAGGAAGCTGCTGTCGCCATCAAAGCCATGGCTAAATAAAGGAACCGCAGGTGAGTCCAGGTACAGGTGGGGAAGGCGGGGGGGGAGAAGGGGGGGGGGGGCCTTTGGGGTCCTTCCCCCCCCCAGGGGTTTTCTTTTTAACACCCCTTTCCCCCCGCCCCTTGCAGGCAACAGCCGCAGCCGCAACAAACTTCTAACGAACCAGAGAGGAATCGCAACCCACACAAAGACTGTCAGATGGGGCTCCAAACCACCCAAAATCTTGGTTTTTTTTTTTCCTTCTCTTTTTTCTTTGTCATCTTCTCTTCCTCCTCTTCCTCTTCTTCTTCTTCTTCTTCTTCTCTTTCCCTTCCTTTGAAACGAAACAAACAAACCCCCCTTCCCTCCTTCCATTCCACCCCC